GAGTGAGAAAAGCTCCTGAGTTGAGATAAAGACAGTTTAATAGAACAGAAAAGGGAGAATAATAATGATAATGATAAAATATACAAAATAAGTGATGCACAATGCAATTGCTCACCACCCGCGCTGACCAATAACCAGGTAGCGATCGGTACTTCCTGGATCACGCCTACCATTCATATACTGAGCATGATGTCACATGGAATGGAATACCCCATTAGCCAGCTGAGCTGGCTGTCCTGATTATGTTCCCTCCCATCTTGTGTACCTAGCTCAGTCAGTAGGCATGGGAGCTGTCCTTGGACTAGGAGGGTACTTAGCAACAACTGAAAACATCAGTGTGTTATCAACATTGTCCTCATACTAAATCCAAAACACAGCACTAGGAAGAAATTTAACCCTATCCCAGCCGAAACCCGGACACCAGGCTGGAGCGTATTTAGCTAGGCAAGGCCAGGGAGTTTGTCTTGGTAGAGTAGAGCAACTGGAAAAGGAAAGCAAGGCGTGTTCTTTCTTCTTCTCTTCCACATTGGCCCTATAACAATAGACACCGATATTCCCCAAACAAGCTGTGCTTTTTGTGTCTGAAGCTGTTGCCAGCAAATGTCAATGATTTTTAATAGCTGACTTATTTTCTTGCTGTATTTTTAACTTCTTTTTTCTTCCTTTTTTTTTTTTTAAACTTTAGTGGGCTCAGGCAGATTACAAATACAAGATGTCATGTTAGTAATGACTCCACAAAGACAACTGAAGTAAAACAAAGCATTTGCCACAGTGGAGCGTTTTTGCTGTGTACAGCGTCTCTACTAGGTTTTATAGAGAGGATCACTTCCCTGGTGAATGCTCGAAGAAAGCCCTTGCTGATTAGAGGTGATGAAGGCCATCACTTCTCTCTCTTGTTTTGTTTTGATTCTGTTGTTATTAAGCTGAGGAGCTGATGCCTGTTCTGTGCTCCTCTCCTTGGTCTCTAGGTTGGCATGCTCCCATTTCTAAAGTGAGGTATACCAAAGCAACTAATGGTAATTTGCATCTATATGTGCTACTTTAAAGAAAAGAGATAATTTGAATGTGTGTGCATGTGTTTGCATTATTCTAGTGGTTATGGGCTATTTGCTCGTCTTGTGATTAAGGACTGCCCATTCTATGAATGTGCTTAATACTTTGAAAACTTGAAAGAAATGCTGGCACCCCACACAATGTCAAAATGTGCATTTGAAGTAAAAGCCCAGCAATTCAGATCTTATGGTCTTGTTCATAGCAGGTAAAAGGCTGCCTTGATGACACTTAGAGCAAATGAATTTCTCTCCTGCAGTCATGTACTGAATAAATTGCTTGATCTAGTTTGGTACAAAAGGACATGATCTATAAATAGTTAACAGAGCTTTCTTCAGGACAAGTGATCTATAGACTGGAACTCTCTCTTGGGGTCTTTTAAAAAAGTAAGTGCTGATATGAACAAAAGGAAAGTTTGTTTTAAAAAAAGAGACCTTTTTAATGAGATTGAAACTCACACTCTTTAACTTCCTTTTGAAAGCGTCTGGCCAACCACTTCAAAAGTCCAAAAAGCTAACCTTGCAGTCACTTGAAGAAAAGAAGAAAAAAGGTCAGACGGTTAATCTGATGTGAATATATTGTCAATAACTACAAGCTGAAAATGCAAACTAAAACAACTGGGTAATTTGAATCAAAGAAATTGCTGTCATATAAGCATCAGTGAATTCAGTTTTTATTTGAAAGCCACTGTTTCAGACTTAAAGGAACTTCTCTTCTCTTTGACATTTTCATGAGTTTGTCGATACACTGCACTGTTGGCCACAGGGTCTCTCTGTCCTATTTGCTCTTTCATGTACTTTTTTGTCAGCTAATCTTCCAGGTTTTCAGACCATTGCTAATTGTGATAAGCAAAACTTAAGACATTTTAGTGTGCTAAAGGAAGCATCCATCTACCAAGTTTCTTCATGTGGCATTCTCAGAAGAAAGCACAAAGAATAGTTTTCTATGGAAACAAAAGGAAGAAGGCTCCCTTTTTATGGTATTTTCAGCTTTGATTCTTTTTTCATTGAGATGAGGCCAGTCGTTTTGAAAGTAGTGTCAATGTGGATTTCCCTGAAAAAACCTGTATGACCTATGCATGTAAAATTGGGGTTTTAGTGGCAGTGTTGTGTGCAGGCCAAGGTGGTGATGGCGGCAAAGGGACTGGTGCATGCTGCTGGTGTGGCTGCTAATTCTGTTAGTGTCTTCAGATATGTGCTAGTGTGTGTATGTGTTGTCCGAAAAGCGGATTCGTGCCCAGCATGCAAGTAGCCAATTCCACACCTCAGGAGAGATACTGTTTTATTCAGGCCTGGGTGCTCAATGGACTTGCCACAAATCAAGCACCCCTGGTCTAATCACCTTTCTGTTTATATCCATGCTTCTCATACATATTTTAAATTTCTCTTTTACATATTCATTAAGTTTCCAGGAACTAATTATAACATTACATCATTCTTTACGCACGCTCGCTAAAGCCTTTAGGGTTTTTCTCCAAGGGTCTCGGGTGGTCTCTGATGGTCGATAGGGTAGTGAACTTTCTGTGAACTTGTCTTTCCTTCTCCTTACAAGGTTGCGACTCACTGCCCCCGGAGCCATACTTGGATCGCGTTTGTTTACGGTTTCCATAGTCAAAGTTAATTATCACTAACATCTAACAATATTTCCACAACACACAACTTATACTTGTTACCATTCTACATAATATATCATTAATTATTTAACAATTCCTATTATTTAAAATCACTGAAACAAATAAATCCACAACAAACCAAGGTATCTGTAACTATCATATTCTTTTTTTTTCATTAAAACAAATTAAAACAGGTACACTCCATTCTTTTAGATCAAACATCAATCTCATCCCTGTTTCACAAACTATTAATTCCCCATTCTGATTTTAATCAACTGGTTTTTAACCCAGTCTTGGACAGGGGCTATACAAGGAACTGTAACACTTTTGAGGATTATAGTTGCACTCATAATATTTATCCCAACATATGCACCACAGCTAGCACAAGGACCAGCACCAGCAAGTACGTTGTGTGCAAATATGACTGGGCAGAGCTATGACTGTGAGTGCTTGGGGGCCAGAAGGATCCTTCAGAGTGAGGAGAAGACCATCTGTGTTTATAGATTGGCCATGGGTTTTGGGAGACCAAATCGTTCTGTGCCTACAGAGAACGTGAAAGCCAAGTATCCAGACTATGAAATCACTTGGGCAGGTGAAGGCTACTGACTTGATCAGTTAAAAAAAATTAAAATAGCATGGTGGGAGTATATTATAGACCACCTGATCTAGGTGAGGAAGTAGACTAAGACTTCTTTAAACAACTGGAGGAAATCTCTGTTTCACAGAATGTGGTCCTCATAGGGGACCCTGACGTATTCTGGAGGGGCAACATGGTGGGATGCAAGGAGGAAGATTTCTGAAGGGTGTTTGGGATAACTGGTTGATACTGCTACTGGATGGGTGAACTGGTGTTGACACAACCAGATCTGCTGTTCGCTATCAAGGAAGAACTAGTTGAAGACATTATAATCAATGACAGCCTTGGCTGTGGCAGGGGTCCTGAAGGGAGTGAGGAACAAGATTAGCAGGGTGCAGACCCCAGACTTCAGGCTAGTGGACTTCAGCTTATTCTTTATTTAGGGAAAGTTCCATGGGAGGCAGCTCTGAAGAGCAAAAGAGCTCAGAAAAGCTGGCAGGTCTTTAAGGACAGCATCCTCTAAATGCAAGAATACTTAGGAAAATAAACACCTTTATCAGGAAAACAGCTTTGTTAAGAACAGGTATAATGGCAGAGCTCCAATGCAAAAAGGCAGCATTTGAGAGGTGGAAGCAGGGATAGGATACAAAGGAGGAATTTAGAAAAATTGTCTGGGCATGCAGGCATGGTGTTAGGAAAGCTAAAGCTCACCTTGACAGTTGTAAGGAATGTTAGGAGCAACAAGAAGAGCTTCTACCACTGCATTAGTAATAAAAAGCTGAAAAGGGGAAACACTGCATCAACAAAGGGATCACAAGTGATTTGGTAACAGCAGACACAGGTAAGCCTGAGACACCTAATGACTTCTTTGCTTCAGTCTTCACCAGCAAGATCTCCCAGGTGTCTGTTATTAATGAAAGAGTTCAGGGAGGAGGTAGATGCAGATCAAGTCAGTGACTGGGAGAGTTCAACGCATGGAAATTCATGGGACCAGACAGACTGCATCCAAGAGTGCCGAGAGAGTTGACTGATGTGGTAGCAAGACTGCACTCTATACCTTTGAAAGGTCACGAAGGTTTGAGAGAGGTCCCTCATTACTGGAGAAAAGCAAATGTTGCACCAGTCTTCGGAAAAGGCCAAAAGCAAACCTGGTCAGCCTCACTCCAGTCCCTGGGGGGTTCATAAAGTCAGTCCTCTTGGAGCACATTTCTGGGCACATAAAGAAGGTGATAGGGAAGAGTCAGCATGAATTTGCTGAGGGCTGATCAACCTGACAGCTTTCTATGATAAATTGACAGGATTTGTGGACTAGGGAAGAGCAGTGGATGTCATTTACCTTGCCTTTAGCAAGTCTTTTGACACCATCTCGCACAACCAGATAGATAAAAAGCCAGTTGAGTGGTCAGGCTCAGTGGATCATGGTTAATGGGTTGTACTCTACTCGTAGGTCACCAAAGGTCTGCAAGGGTCTGTATTGTGACCAGTCCTGTTCAACAACCTTATCAATGACCTGGAGGAGGCAATGGGAGTGCACGGTCATAAAATTTACCGAAGACATAGAACTGGGGAAACTGCTCAATACAGTCAAGGGCAATGCTGCCACCCAGTGGGGCCTAGACAGGCAAGAGGAATGGGCTCATGGGAACTTTGTATAACTAAACAAAGTCAGTGTCTTTCTTGTGGACACAGTATCTAGACATGGTCTGAGTTTTGAGTGGAGGGGGCTAATCACTTCCTTCTATCAGCAGACTATACTTCTGTTAACAGAGCACAGGACGCTGTTGGCTGCCTTTGCTGGCAGGGCATGCTGCTGACTCATTCATGTCCAGCTGACATGTCTGCCCACATCTCCAAGTCCTCTTCCACAGAGCTGCTTCCCAGCCAGCCAGGTCCCATCCTGTATCATTGCGATGGGCTCTTCTTTCCCACATGCTGGATTTAACAATTCGTCTTGAATTTCACAAAGTTTCTATTAGCCCCTTTCTCTTGCCTGTCTAAGCCCCCCTGGATGGCAGCCCTGCCCTAGAGTGCGTTAACTGTTTGCTCCAGTTTTGCACCATCTGCAGACTTGACAAGACTACACTCTGTCATCTCTTCCAGGACATGATCCTGAAAAACGTCAAATGCTTTATGGGTAATCAGCCCTTGAGTCACAGGCAAATACAGTCCAAAGAGCAGGAGAGAAAGCATATACAAGAGGAAGGAGTAATAACTGTAATAACTTATTATTAACTAATAAGAACTGCTCATGTGGGAAATCTTTACGGGTTTCTTTGCGTTTATGAATGTCACGATGTGAAGTACTATTTGGTTGATACTATTTCCTAATGGGCAGATATGAGTCTTTTTATTCAAGGTACTTAAAGACAATGTGGGGGAGTTGGAGAAAATTGTATAGGAAGACCCAAGAATGGCCAAGACCTGCAAATGGTCACAAGTCCTTACAGTCCCCGAATGGCTGGTAATTTTCATGATAAGGAAGTGTGTTGTGGTTTTTAGCTTTGGGAATATACAGAGAGATGCAAGGTAGTGTTTGAGCTCTCCTTCTGACTGGGGAGAGGACAAGCAAAATATTTTACAAAATGCCTGGGGTTTCATGCATCATATGCTTCTAAAGGAAGCCTTAAACTCATCAGCGCCGTAAAGACTTTGCTCTCATTCCTAAGGGTATGTGGGACTGCAAAAGATAAGGGATGTTAGCTTTGGCATAGGACAGTTTTCACTTGCCTTTTCTGTTCCATGTGCTTCTCCATTAGCTGGACAGTAAATTAGATGAGAATTTAAGAAATTTTTTGAAAACTGTTTGGGAACTAAAACCCACTTTGTCCAACTCAATTTGATTTAGTCTGAGATCACTGCAGACTAACTGTTACTGAATGCTGCTGCCTACAGCTGGACCTTCTGTTGCCACACCATGCTATGAGTCCTCTGCCTGCCCCCTCTTCTGCACAAGAAACAATACTTATCCTTTACCTGACTCATGAAAATGAAAAGAATCTCCTTGCTATTTTGGCATGGGTGGTGGTGTTTAGCAGTAATGGAGGTGAAGAGGCTTCTGCCTGAGAGTTACTTTTCCCAGAGAAGAGGACATCTTTATTTTGTGTAAGCTTGAGTAAAGTACTCAAACATGTATGCTACCTCACATTTACAACAGCGATGCTTGCTACTATTGTTCCTTCCTTGCAGGATGATTTTAAGGTTTCAGTCCTTGCTGCCCACTGCATGTGCCTTAGATTTACAGGTAAATTAATGCCAGTTGAAGGGATTGGAGTCTATGACACTGAATATTCATAAATCTTCTGTGAATACTAATGTCTGTTTTCCTGAAAGGTAACATTTTCATGGGCAGCTGTCTTGATCAGAGAAAGATTTCAGCAAGGCAGGTCTGCAGAGGATGACTTTTCATTTGGTTGATCTGATTGACTAGCGAAAGCCATCACTTCTGGTATAGTAAGAAGTAGAATTAAGGGGTATAAGGAATCGGGGTAGGGGTGGCATAATCTAGTAGTTAGGGGCAGGACTCTCTAGGCTAGGAGTTAAACCAAAAGTATCAAGTTGAAGCCGAGTTAAACACCATGCTGGGAGGCAAAATTGGAACCATGGGATTAAGTCAGCAGACTTAAGTTAGTCAGACCCAAGACTGGCGTCAGGAACTTCAGGCATAATGTTTTGAAGCATCAGGCAGGAAACAACTGCTCGAGCTGCCCTCCAGTCTCCTGGAAAAACACCTTCATTTCCAGGAGAAAAGAAGTGACATGTGGCAGATGTATGCGAGACTCTGCATTAGTAAATTAACAGGGCTATAACACTCAGGCTTGTGCTGCCTCCTTTAATTGCCTGACATGCATATAGAATGCCAAATTATGTTCTCTAAAGAAAACTGAATGCAGATTATGCTTTGCAGCTCTTTGCACTATTGGTTAGCTGGTACCTATTATGCTGAACATCAGGAACTCAGTCTACAAGAGGTGAAGGGGCTGCTACTTGTGTAGTTCAGGTGCATGCCAGTGAAAGTCTGCAAAGTTGTGACAGTAGAGTAAGCTGTTGACCTTTTTCTAGCATCGTGTCTTGGACTTGTCATTCTTCTATCTGAGACCTCATTTACAATAGCTTTTGAATTGGAAATAATTGTAAAGGAGGACCATGGCTGCTTTTATCTTTTATGCCCTTACACAGGGACAAACAATCCTATTTAAAAAAAACAAAATCCACCACCACAACACCACATTGATGTAGTGTAGCAATGGTTCAAACAACCATAGTTACTATAGAGTAATTCCCCCCCCACAATACAATGCGTATATACGCACACATACACGTATGCATACACTTGGAACTGAGTAGTTGAGGATAAAGCTAGACTATATAGCTGTGGTGTAAAGCACAATGTGTCCCACTGCATGAGTGATTTGACTGCGGAACTACAGGCCAGTCAGTCTCACCT